GTCGTCTTCTCCCAACCCTTCTTGCGAGCTGGTCGAAGTCGAGTAATGATTACGACAGCTTCGTGGTTGTTGAACAAAGTTTTTCGAGTGGTCTTCTCCCAACCCTTCTTGCGAGCTGGTCGAATTCGAGCAATGATTTCGACAGCTTCGTAACTGTTGAATCAAAGTTTTTTGAGTCGTCTTCTCCCAACCCTTCTTGCGAGCTGGTCGAAGTCGAGCAATGATTTCGACAGCTTCGTGGCTGTTGAATCAAAGTTTTTCGAGTCGTCTTCTCCCACCCCTTCTTGCGAGCTGGTCGAAGTCGAGCAACGATTTCGACATTCGTAACTGTTGAATCAAAGTTTTTCGAGTCATCTTCTCCCAACCCTTCTTGCGAGTTGGTCAAAGTTGAGCAATGATTTCGACAGCTTCGTAACTGTTGAATCAAAGATTTTCGAGTCATCTTCTCCCAACCCTTCTTGCGAGCTGGTCGAAGTCGAGCAATGATTTCGACAACTTCGTAACTGTTGAATCAAAGTTTTTCGAGTCGTCTTCTCCCAACCCTTCTTACGAGCTGGTCGAAGTCGAGCAATGATTTCGACAGCTTCGTAACTGTTGAAATCAAAGTTTTTCGAGTCGTCTTCTCCCAACCCTTCTTGCAAGCTGGTCGAAGCCGAGTAATGATTTCAACAGCTTTGTAGCTGTTGGAGTCGACCTCGTGGCCGTGTGTGATCGCTTTTTTTCTTGTTTGATGGGTTGAGCCGACTATATAGCCGTTTTGAAAATTTCGATATATTCTGCTGCAGTTGATGTGAGAAGGGGTCGATTGTTACTTCTTCTCGACTTTGGGATATATGATTTTCTCTGGCTACTTGTCATGCCTCGCTATTTGGGTCGAATTTTCTCCATTAATGACTATCTTTTTAAGATAAGTCTTGACACTGTCGCGCGCCCCGTTAATCGCCTCCTCTTTTCTCTCTCCTTTTTTTTTTGAATTTCTAATTTCAACAACTCCTATGATTGACGCGCGTCTCGTCAATCGCTGACTCCTCGTATTCTGTGCTTCATCTGGATCATTGGTTTCCTTACGCATCCAACGACTAACTTTTGCCCTCATCTCTTATATATATGATTGAACTTTTGCTTCACACTTTTCCTCTTCTTCTGAAACTTCTTTGCAACTCCGGCGACCTGGTAATCCGAGCTTTTCCGACGACCTTTCCTGCTACCCCGGTGTTTTAACCAATCTTTCGGGTCATCATGAGCAACATGGGTAAGCGCTTACTCTCTCTACCGTTCTATTCTTTATTCTTTTATTTTTCTGGGTTCTTTGGGTTTTTCTGCATCCTTGTGTGTTCTTCGTGTTCTTCGCATTCTTCGAATTTTCTCTTGAAGATTTTGTGTTGAATCTTGTGTACACATTCTCTATTTTAATTAGTTGTTAATGTGTGGTTGAGTTATAGCGTGTAACCACTTGTCGGCATTTATCATGTCGATTCTTACCAACACCCATTTTCTTCCTTTCTGTACTTCCCTCGAGTTGGCCTCATGTCGGTTTGCCGTCATGTTTTCAACGAATCATACCATATTACTCTTTCCTTTGTATTTTCATCGACTTGGGCGAGTCGATTGTGTTGTTCTTTTTTTTTATGCCTGATCTTCACCTTTGATTATTTTTCTTCTAGCTTCCAATTCTGTCACTTCGCCAAACACGCTCGACAAATTGATCGATAGGGGCCTCGACCAATCCGACTCAAGCTCAGTCGAGATAGTAGGTTATAAGATGGTTAACGTTTCTCCTTCTTCATCACGCACTTCTACTCCGAAGGTCGACTGGGCTGAGTATGATCAAGCGCTATTAGATGGTGGCCTAGTAGAGATCTCCAGGAGTCCCCAGGGAGATTCTCCTCGCCTCGACTTGATTCCTCGAGGTATTCCCCTTAGGTTGTTAGATATTCTTGTATATAGTACCATCCCTGTACCTATATCAATAATTACTCCTCTTGTCGACCCTCGCGAGATTGTATCCATAGCCTGCCCTCTGGCCAAATTGGCCTCTTTAACCCTTTTTCTTACGCTTCTGCGGCTCAAGTCGAGAGTTTTAGGCAATTCAACGGGCTTCCCTCCGATTGGGAGTTGGTTGCTCCTGGCTCTGATAACGACTTCACCTGCCTCCCGCAAGGTTGTCATACTTTTTTTGCCGACCAAGTCATTTTTTGCCTCTGCTTTCCTATCCAGGTCGAGCTTTTGGAGATAAGTGATCTGTACAGCATCCCGATAAATCAGTTCTCTACAAATGCTCTCTGTGTCATGATAGCCTTTATCTTTGTTTCTCGTATAGTTCTCCATTTTTTCTCGGCCGAATTTTTTCATTACTGTTATAGTTATCGACTTCAAAAGGGGGCTCATTGTTTGATCCGCCATCCCGGCGTTACCTTTCTTGACGACCTTTCCTCAAATATCCCAGAATGGAAGTCGAAATTCGTCTTCATCCGCCCTCCCATCGGTGCTTATCCTTATGCAAATAATTGGATAAGCACGAATGTTAAACAAAGTAAACGGTCTCGATCCGAGAACTTCGAAAGACTCTTAGAGGAGTTGAATAAGCATACTTATAGTGCTCGCCGTATAATAAAAGATCGTGAGTTGGTCAATCATGCTCGAATTGTTCTGTATGATGATATCTCTCGACTCGATGATCCCCGTAAGCTATCTGACATTTCTCATAATGTCGGGTTTGATTTCTATTTCAACCTTTGATTATTTGTTTTTATTCCAGTCAAAGCACTCAAGCGCTTCGAGGTGAAGAAGAAACAACCGACTGGTCAGTTGGCAGGCGGGTCTGCTCCTCCCCCACCCGGCGGATCCGTGTCGA